GTTTGAAGAAGTGGCAATGCCTACTACTAATAATAGGCCTACTAGAAAAAGGAAGCAAGTAATTGTAAGATCGACTGATGCGAAGAAGCAATTTGAGATTTTGAGAAAACAAAAGTTGGAGTTGGAAGTTCTAAAAACCAAGTAGGAAGTGTGGGAGCTGGAAAACAAACTAGGGGTTGAACATTCCGAGTTAACCCAATCTGTAAAACCACTTACTCATGTCTAATGTACGAAATACTGACAAATGGATTTGTAAAATTACTCTTAATTGTGTTTTTGTCTGTTATAGTTTTACTAATACTTAATAATTAAACATGCTTGTATATTTCATTATTGTCTCTTTTTATTAATCAATGTTAAAACCTGATTATTAAGACATGTTTAATTAGATCTTTAAATAACAAACAATAAAAAATCATAAACATAATAGACTTACATTTGGTTTATAACTATACAAATTGACTATTAAAGTACGGTATGGAAAATTATTTAGGTTGGGGTAAACAGAAATAACTGTATAAATTAGATTAATATATACCATTAACTAATCTATTCTTCTTAATATTACTGAAAAAAACATCAAGAAAAACTAAAAAAATATAGAAACAAAAGTCAAAACAAGGTCTCAGCAACAAGTCTAAGCTATGCAGCTAATTTCTGAAGTGGTTGTAGAAGAAGTGTAATTTTTCTTCCGCTCCTTCCGCGTACTCTTCTACCCCCTCAACTACATGAGCATCGTCTTCGTCGTTATTAAGGACAAATCTCTCGATCATTGCCAAGTTAGAAAGAGCAACAGCACATTTGATTATGTTGCATGCATAGACAGGATTTACTTGCAAGTAGTTAAGACAAGGAAATTTTTCCCTTAACCTACCGATTGCACATTCCACTACCCTTCTAGTTTTCTTGTGTGCTCTTAGGAAACGAGTTTGTGCAGGGTCACCAGCGTTTTGAAGAACGGGTGGTATTAACCAGGACTTGAGCGGATAGATAGAATCCCCAAGCAACACAGCGCCTGGAAAGGGACGCCAACCTTCTTCCATTCTGTCACTTATGAAGCTATTTCTCAGAACACGAGCATCGCTAACACTACATGGCCAGTTAGCATTTACGTAGTAAAACTCCAGGTTAGGTCCACAAATTAGTAAAACGTTTATGGAATGATGTCCCTTTCTGTCAACAAAAACTGGTTCGTCGATTGAAGGAGCATCTATTTTTATTAAAGTCCCATCAACTACACCACAAGTAAGAGGCATGCCAGCGATATTACTGAACGCATTGATTGTTTCTCCTACATCTTCTGGCCAGCGAACGGTGTCAATCAATAAGTTTTCATTAATTGCATTTACAACATTTTTTATGATGCGGCAAACTGTCGCTTTCGACACACCGTGCATATCTGCTATGCAATGGTATTGTACACCACTACCAAACCAATGAAGTGCAATTTGTAATTGTTCTTTTGGTGTCAATGCATGGTTCCTATTCGTTGGGTGCTGTAACACAGGCTCGATTGTATTCAAAATGATATTGAAATTTTCATAGCTTAACCTAAACCTTTCATTAAACTCGTAGGTTTCTTGAATTTGAAAGTAAGAAATCCTTTGTTTAAATGTTCTTGGTCTTCTAACCACCACTATGTCTTCTTCATCACTTGATCCGCTTGATTGCATCTCTATTTAGATAAAGTTATTAATATTTTTATATTTCGCTAAATCTTAATAGAAAATACACGACACAAGTAAAAATTCTATGAGTCAAAAAAGGCTAATAATATATTACTCTAAATTTTAGGGTTATATTATTAGTTTCTATTGTTTTTGAAACAAGATTTGTGTAAACACTAGTATTATAACTGGTATTTTGGAGCAGTAAACTTATAACTTGTTTTACTAGCTTATATTTTTATGAAACAGAATACTAGTATTATAATTTAATAATATCAGGTAAACACTTATATTACAAGCTTATATATTTTTATGAAACAGGCCCCTAAGACAATGCAACACAGGGCCAACTCTGTTCAACTGAACCATTGAGTATTGAGGGTGATTAGGCATACACTACTGAACTAACTCCAAACAAGAAAGCGAGCTAATAAAAACGTTTTAAAATGTAAAATTAATATTGATCGTTGTGATCGACTCATTGTCAGCGACCACAAAATAAAAAAAAATATTTTTATTCTGTGGTCGCTGGACTCACTTGATAGCAGTAAACAGATGTTTTGCGGGCAAATCGTGGTGGTGGGGGTAGCTACTGGGCCGAGCAACTCGGTTTTCAACTAAATCACTCGACTCGCTCTCAACTGACCTCTTTTTATCAACTCGCCCGTTGCTCGACTCGCCTGCATGTCTACACCAAGCGAGTTAAAGAGCGAGTGGCAACTCGCACACTGACTCGCCCGCCGTACTCGACCCGTGTAAACCAGGCTTAACTGACAGTGCTGCAGCTCCTGATTGCTGGTGATGTCTTTCATACGCCTTGATGTGGAGTGGTGTACGGTGCTGGTGGCCTGTCAGACGGCCAACCATCGTGACAGTCTTCATCCATTTGTTGGAGTTCTCACCACGGTCTCTCAATTACGAATGTTAGACCGTCTGGTCTGGGAGTGTGTAGAGCCGTCCAAGACGGTCTGGTTACAGCCAGACGGTCTGGTCTGGAGGTCTGGTCTGGTAGTGTGTGGGGGGCTTAATTCGTAATTGAGAGACCGTGGTGAGAACTCCAACAAATGGATGAAGATTGTCACGATGGTCGGCCGTCTGACAGACAGCGCTACACACTCACAGACCAGACAAAAATAGTGGTGGGGGAACCTCAGACCGTCTGTGGTCTGAGGGTTCAACCATCAGACACGCAGACAGTCTGGTCCGAGAAAATCGGTCTGCAGACAGCCCCACACACGATAAAGCCCCCCACACACTACCAGACCAGACCTCCAGACCAGACCGTCTGGTCTGGCGTCTGGCACTTGTCTTATCGTGTGTGGGACTGTCTGCAGACCGATTTTCTCGGACCAGACTGTCTGCGTGTCTGAAGCCCCCCACACACTACCAGACCAGACCTCCAGACCAGACCGCCTGGCTGCAACCAGACCGTCTTGGACGGCTCTACACACTCCCAGACCAGACGGTCCTAATTCGTAATTGAGAGACCGTGGTGAGAACTCCAACAAATGGATGAAGATTGTCACGATGGTCGGCCGTCTGACAGACAGCGCTACACACTCACAGACCAGACAAAAATAGTGGTGGGGGAACCTCAGACCGTCTGTGGTCTGAGGGTTCAACCATCAGACACGCAGACAGTCTGGTCCGAGAAAATCGGTCTGCAGACAGCCCCACACACGATAAGACAAGTGCCAGACGCCAGACCAGACGGTCTGGTCTGGAGGTCTGGTCTGGTAGTGTGTGGGGGGCTTGATGGTTGAACCCTCAGACCAAAGACGGTCTGAGGTTCTCCCACCACTATTTTTGTCTGGTCTGTGAGTGTGTAGCGCTGTCTGTCAGACGACCGACCGTCGCTACAGTATTCAACCATTTGTTGGAGTTCTCACCACGGTGTCTCAATTACGAATGTTAGACCGTCTGGTCTGGGAGTGTGTAGAGCCGTCCAAAACGGTTTGGTTGCAGCCAGACGGTCTGGTCTGGAGGTCTGGTCTGGTAGTGTGTGGGGGGCTTTAGTCAAGTGCCAGACGCCAGACCAGACGGTCTGGTCTGGAGGTCTGGTCTGGTAGTGTGTGGGGGGCTTTACAAATACACATTCAGGATTGCCAACCGCTCGAATTGCCGTTTATCTTAAACGAAGCCAGTAAAATGTTGGAGAAACTGAACACACATTTTAAACGGAGTTTAAAAATAAACTAGTTTATTATAAACGTAGTTTACACCATTTTGGGGAAACCGGGCCCTAATCATAAACAATAACTTGTCCCCTAGTTATTTAACCAAACAGTAAAGCACAAATCAAGAAATTAACCCTAAAATAATATAAACAAAATTTCGTCAACACTAGCGCCCAGTGTGGCATACATGAACTAGACATAAAAAACGAGCTTCAAAATTTACATTGGGATGAGAAGTCTACTTGTGTTGGTTAGTCTATAACTAAACTAAATGTTTAACAATAATACATTTCCTTTGCTCTTTTCACAGCGTGTCTGGGCGGAAATATTCCATCATTTGAAAAAGTAAGTATGGTGATAAATAAAGTAAAAGTGGGTATACTAATTACACCAGAATATGTGTTATCTATCATTACACCAACCAAATACTTCGGTCATCCTTTCACTCATATTTAGGGCAAAATGTGTATCCCCATCTCAATTGACAGTAAATAAACTGTATAATCAATCTGACACATATTTTCTCCCATTAGTGCGTCAACCAACAATCATGGCCAAACGGTGGGAGTGACGTCCTGGAGAGTGACCACGAATACTAGAGAAATACAAATGTTTTATTGCTAAAAGTTGCAAGAGTTGCAATAACTTTTGAACAGGAATTTTTACAGTGTTCAGGGTTTTACAATTTTGTTAAGAGTATAAGGGCTATAACATACTAAATTTTAATCAAAATCGTTTGAGTTGCTTATTTGATGATTGGATTTTACTATTAGCCTATTTTATAGGGGGAATCACATTACCATATATATATATAAATGAATTGAACAATAAACGCCTGGAGATGCCATGGATTAGTATCCACATATCAAATCTAATCAAAATTGGAAATCACGCGTAGTCCTGATTGTACTGCCATATAAGTATATATCTTCAAAACGAATAAATAAATCAGTCACTTAATAAATTTCACCATGAGGTATAAGAAAGTCTATAAAAAGAAACATGAAGAATCTTACATATTAAACCAATGGTCCACGTGTATTCCGTCAAGCACTTTATCCTGACTCCCTGTTGCTAGTAAATGTACTGTCGTCTGACAATTAGCAGACAGATTTATCTTCCCCCACCAACCATAGCTCCATGTCAGTGTCAAGAAGTCAAGAAGAGGTAGAAGGAAAGGGTTTTGTTCATTTGTGAAAACAATATTCTTTGGTCTAAGTAGTTGAAACAAATTGTATGTGCTGCAAGTGTTTCAAGACGACTTTTAGTCTATTTCTAGTAAATATTTTAAACATTGAAACAGAAATAGTCTTTTGGGGTAAGTTAGAAAGAAATAGGCTTAGTAATGTTTTCAGATGCTCTTTCTCTAGGCTGCATTTTGTTTGAACACTTTCCTTTATTTTTTAGTGTTAATGGTTAACTTAAGGTTTAAGACTAGGCTATGATAAATTACTTTCATCTGAATTATACTTTTAGGCCACGGATAGTATACTTGGTAGAATGTATGTAAGTTATATGAAAAAAATGTACGTATAAGAAAGAAACATCTTAAACTTTATCACTAAAATTATTACTCAAAAGGCTGGTGTCAGGGTTATTAACCCACTGGATTTAGGAACCTTGTAAGAAAGCGTTAGGTTTTCATCCCAACAAGTTAATACCAGGAACCCACAGTTGAACAATGCCTATGATCTCTGTTTTTTTTAAATATAATGGGTTAAGTTGCAAAGAATGCTCAGAGTTGATCGTATTTAACAAAACTTGTGCATTGTGGAACTATTATTTTAACTCCATAATAACAAAACCTGTCAATAGTTACGCTTTACCAATCCTAATAGCCTATACGGTAATGTTACCATAGGACAGTTAACTCGAATAAATTAACAAAAATTCCCATCTATCTATTAAGAAGTTCTAGTACCGGTATCTTGTCTCTCATCAGTGTTAACTTACAATTAATAAGTTACTAGCAGCCCTACATTCTAAGGTTAAATCACAACTCACTTTAGGTTTGGTTTTAAAGCCAACTTTGCTTAAGTTAGTCATGAGTGTGTATTGGGCATTAGCCTAAGTGGCCTCATTGTTGCTTTACTCACTAGTTGTATAATATTTAAAAAAATTCAGGTTTATAATATTTTTATTTATTGAGTACGGTAAAACCAAAGTTATAGGTGGCCTCTTTTTTTTAGAATAGTCATTGTCATTGATTGTGTGTTTTAAATATACCTGTCGCAAAAACACATAGCCTATCAAAGTACCGTAATGTTACATATGAGAAAAATTACTCATGGACTGTACTGTATTAACCATAAAAGTTGCACCATATGGTTTCTTCACACGGTTCCTTGTCAAGAAGACAATAACCCATCACAGAACACTTGGAACCTTTGGTTCGTTACTCATTTTTATTTAAGTTATATGTTTAATGTTTAGTGTCTGGTGGGATACCAAATTCGTTTAGCTGTGTCCAAAGATAACGCTCTTATGCTTTTTTAATATCTATAAATTCCTAAAGAGTTCTTTAACAGGCCTATCAAATAATATCTGCCCAGTTGTTGATCAGATAAAACCAGCCTGATCCTCACCAGTTATCTAGTTTGAATATTTTCTAGCTGATTTAGGGCAATTCGGGATAAATTGGTAAATTGTATGGGATACTAAGAAGTGAGATTCCTCTGTAATTACTACAATCCTCTTTCTCTCCCTTTTTACGTATGGGTAACTACCCTGCCAGCTACTCAATTACTACCATAAATAAGCTAAATGCAGTCATGAAGAAATTAAATGAAATGAAAATCTAGTTAACTAACTAACAGAGTTTTCCCAACAACAACATATGAATCTCCATAATCATATTCCATATCAATATCTGGCATGAGACAAAAGATAAAGCTTCCTCCATGAAGATTAGGACTTTGAGTGTTTATAAATATAATACTACTGTAACTTGAGAGTTATTACAAAAAAAAAAATCTAAAAAAAACTGAATTTGTTCTCATTTTTGTATTGTTATCTGGCACAAATAATTCTTCTTTTGCAAGACAAAGAGGTGTAAGTAGCCTAGCGTTGTTTGAAAGCTTGTTTTTGCAAATGAAATAAAAACATTAAGGTACAATTTTTAAATGAAAACATTTTTATTTAGTTGAGCTAACAACAGAGTGTATTAATTTACCATCTTCGTCGTTTCTTCTCTACACCAACTTTTTAATCATGCCAAACTGTAGTCTCTCCTATGTTTCCTGTCATCTAAATATGAAAGATAAAATGGGTTTTAATTTCTATAGATATTATTATTAATCATCAGCCCTAAAAAAGTTGACATCACCCGATATTTTGAAATATAAAAAATATAGCTTTGATTCAGTAGCACATTCTGTTTTATTGTATTGTATGTGCTTGCCCGACATCCACTATAACTAAATAAGCCTATAGGCCTACCCACCAGGTCCAGGAGCTTTTGGCCAATGTTAGCGTCTGGTTCATCACCTGGCTGCTTTTGACCAATCAAAGACCTTCTCCAAGCTTCAAGTCTGTCGCAATCCATAATTGGGGTATGTTCTTTCCAGTCTTATCGGCCTGGTATCAAAGTCGACACTCCTAGTTGTCATTGATACCATTGCCCAGATTGTGAAGGTGTCTCCTGAAACACCCCGCGTCTTGACCCTCTACAGACCTACGAGTTGAACATCTGGCCTTCTTTCAAGGTCCTTCTGCGGAGGGTGGAGTGATCGTTGCGTTAAGTTCGCTTGGCCATCGTGCTCCGACATCCGGACTCACAGTAGGGCCTGGTGTTCTTCCCTCCTTTGATCTTTGGGGCTTTTTCTTTTTTCATCTGCACCATTCAAGAACTTGGTCTTGCTCGGGATGAGCTATCCCCTGAAGTTGTTGGCAATGCAACTACTGGAGTTGTGCCGAGGCTTTTCCTAGTATGGTTTTGGTTTTTCGGAAACAATAAAGTTTCCACAAGTTATGAAGGGTTACAATGGGTTCCCACAAAGGGCTGAAGGTTGAGCCCAGGCAGAGCCCTGCATGCTCGGGTGAGGCTAATTCCTACAGGAGGTCACCTGGTAGCCTTGAGGCTCCACTGCTAGGGAGCCTGATGGCATTCACCTCTTTGGCATGGGTTGCTAGACACCACTGAGGTTCGGAAACAGAAGCAAAAGGAAGGGAGATGGTAAAAAGAGTTTTTCAATTGGAAAGTGAAGAAGGAAGAAGAGCCAGCAAACAAAGTACGCCCAGAACGAAGAAGAGAAGGGATCTAGAGATTGGCTAGGGTACTTAGGGGTCGTCAGCCTCGTATAGTTTGGCAGCAACTACCCCTAAGGGTACATTCAGTGTGGAGGCTCATATTAGTTTTACTAGAATGTAAATTTGGCTTTTGCTATTCCATAAATGTGATTTTTATGCATCCAAAGTCAATGATTTATCATACCAATTTTTGTTTGCAGATAACTGAGCCTCTTAAAGACAATCTTACTGGATCATGGGATGTTCTTTACAGGATATTGTTTCTTGGTAAGTTGAAAATACTAAATGCCATCATGATTACTAATTAACTCAGTTTATTGAATGATAATGCTTGAACTTCTTTAATTAGCCTATGGTTTTTCTTAACCCTACTTAACTGATATTGGAAATTAGGTCACAAGTATTTTGTACCTACACTTTAACACTTAAATTAACACCACCAAATTAAATTAGATCGTAAATTTTTGTTGTAGGCCTTTAGGTTATGTGATTGATATAAAAATAAAATATTATTTTAATTGTTTTTCTTATAATAATTTTCTGTTTAAAATAAATTGTGTATCAAATTTGTAACACTGTACATTGTAACATTGTAATTTGTAAATAATTCTTTTCATTTAGTTTCACATTAGGGAAAACAAACTCATTTTAAACACAATTCGATGAATGGTTGGAACAATTTTGAGAATCTCTAACAAAATGAGGACTTCATTTTGGACCCTTGAAATTCAAACTGTAAACAAGGCTGTAGCAATAGGAAGAATGTTGGTACGAGAATAAATTGCTGGGAAGCTTATAATATCTTACATTTGCCACACGTGAGATTGTTTACTGCTGCAAAGTTCCTCTTGTCTAAATATAACCATAGAGTCAGCTGAAGGCCATTTAACATTACCATCTCGGGAGTTTATTTGGCAAGTTTCATTAAGCAGCATAGTAAATGTGGTTCAGGCATAAAGATAAAGACTCATTGAATTTTTACACCCTTTAAATATACCTAATCTTGGATTATCCAAATACCACGAACACCATCGAAATTTCCTTTTCAAGTGATGCTGGATTATGTTTTATAAGACTTGGTTGTCTTAATTTATTTTGTAGCAATCAAGAAGTGTTATTAGGGTTTTATCTGCTTTAAATTTGTTAAAATATCGAGGAAAAATTTTAAATCACTGAAAAATGTTCTCTTTTTATTGAATACATATTTTACTTAACTCCTCGTATAAATATTGTTTTCCTGTACAACATTGTTTTGTGTATTTGTTTGATTTGACTGGTGACACAAAATGCTGCATGCAAGGTGATTTTAAATAGTACATTTCATCAGTCATCACTAGGGCCTAAAGTGACTTTTTTTGACCCGAGGTCTAGTTTTACGATCGAGGTGAAGCCTAGGTCGGAAAATGAGCATTAGTTAAAAGCCACTTTTTGCCCGTGTGGTGAAATATATTTTTTGTCATATTGCCTCATTAACTAACAAACAAAGCTAGAAAACGAAATAACTTGTTTATAAAGATAACCTCTCAAAACGACTTCCAGCTTGTTTTCAATTCTGCTAATGCAAATAAGCAGCTGTTTCATAAGTGATAAAATCATTTTGTCGATTACGATTGTGTTACAGTACATTATACCATCGATATGTCAAGCAATTGACAACAATAGGCTAAAACCTTACCTATTAAATCAATCGATAAATAATTGCGGTTGATACGATTGCCACAATCGAAATTTGCAGCTGATTTTTACTCCTTAGAGACTAAAAGTGATTTTTACTCCCTAGGGAGTAAAAATGCTACTTTAGACCCGCAATGCATGCATTAAAAACGGCTGTTTTTGCTGCAGTATGACGAAAATTATTTTCTGGTTTTAAAAACTAGGTTAATAGAAGATTTAAAAACTTCATGAAAAATATTTTCAAATTACACGATGATTTTAAAAATGGATCATGAACTTAGGACATTCAATTTAATTTGCATTGAAACTTTTAAGGAATTCAAGTAATAGTTTTAAGGTACCTAGATCCTATAACCTATAGGAGGGTATTTAGATCCTTAACCTGATCAAAATTCAAACCACGTTTGAAACGGTGAGTAGAATTATTTTAAAGAATAAAGTAGACTATTCGCATTTGTTAAAAATCTTCATCAAAATTTAATAACACATAGCTACTGTTTACAAAATAATTTTTATAATAATTATTATAAATCAGTTTTTGGAAAGAAACAAAAAATAACTGGTTAACTGTAATGTGTAAACTGTATTAATACAATGGTGTTAAAATTAATTGCTGTATAGATTATGTTTGGGGTGTGAAGTATGGATTTTAGAACTAACGCTTGATGTTTGTTTGATTTAAAAAAGAACAACAACAATCAGTCTCATTTAATCTGTGTGTTGATTTATACAAAATTTTCCTGTAAACATACCTGCAAATATTATCTCAATGAAAACAAATAAAGTTCAAAGTTCTTGCTACCAAATTGTTAACTGACTACTAAATCAATAATGAAATTGTCTGAACACCTACTGTAAATGTATATTATTTAGAAAACATAAGTGATAAAACTACGTGATTCCAAATTGGAATTTTTTCAGGTATCAAAAGAAGATTGGCACTTATGACAAACAACCTTGGGAGAAAACGGTAGAACAGCATATCTTGAGTGGGTTCACACCAATACCCAAGAAAACTGCTAAGCTCAAAACTGAATTGATTGACATTGATTTAATTAGAGGTAAGTTTCTTTTGGAATAAAGTATATACAAAATTTAATTCTGTTATGAAAAATCTTTAAGTTTTAGATAAAAATTGGTACGGTAATAAAAAATGAAATAAGTTTTTTTTACTTGTTTATCGATAGTAATTGGATTGTGAATCCTACAATTTTGGACATTGTAGGAACTGAATAATGCTGTTAACCAATGTTTATTTTGTTGAAGCAAACTTGTTTGATTTGATTGCGCTGTTGTAAAAGCTACTGGCCAAATAAAAATTATTATACTGTACATGATATTTTCACTTGTTAGTTTTACTAATCCAATAAAGTTATATTTTAAGACTGTTTTTTTCTTGTACAGGATCCTCTTTTACCAAAGCCAAGCCAAAGCATGGGCTGATGACAGTTACGAGGCTGGCTGTGATGCGGTTGGTGTTTCTACCCTTCCACTCGCAATGGTGGGCGCAGCAGACGTCGTACTTTGTGTTCTCCGGGCTGTTGCTCCTCTACACTCTACAGATCATCAATATGGTTCTGTACTTCTACGTTTGTCCACCTCACTCGGAAAACGATGAAATTGAAGTAGGTTCCAGCAAAAATTGTAAAAGTAAACCTGTAAAAGGAAACGGTACTAACTACTGAGATGCATAAATTTAGTTTTAATATTTGCTACTTTGGGATTATACCGACCACACTGATAAATCGACTTTCAAATAATAGTCCAAGCAAACTAAACAAACTTACATAGGTATCGTTAAAAAAATTGCAAGAAAACGTTTTATGGTTTTATTTTGTAGAGTTGGGTTTGCAGAATGACATACTAAAAGTTGCCAAAAATCGGTGCACAAGAAAACCACTAAAATCAGAATTTAAAATGGCGGCTATTTCCAACATTGGACAAATTAAAAAAAACATATTTCACATGCATTTGTTATGCACATTTTTCGAGATAATGACTTGGGACCACCACCTGTATTCATTGGATGGTTAGTATTTCATTTTGATAGGGAACATGTTTTTGGCCGCCATCTTGGATCCGCCATATTGGACATAGATCATTTTTTTTCAATGTAATGATAGTGTTGTGACACATCATTACCAACTACAATTTTACACTGATTTCAATGCCGAAATCCGTTTTTAAATATCTTTATTCATTTAGAAGATATATTCAAACGAAAACTCTCCAACATACATTTCTTATGGACGTTTCGTAGTTTGATAATTGTTTTAAAATTATTTTTCTTATATCTCCAGTTATTATTGACGCTTGTAGTTCGTTCTAGGCTTAAAATATTCAGTAATGTAAGGGTTTTTATTTGAGCTCTTGATCATTAAAATCAGATGAGTTAAAGACCAGCTGCGAACCTCAGAACAATATTAAATTTAACTTTTTATAAATATATTTTTATTAAAAGATTTATGACTCGGGTTGTTAATACGTCACCAAGTTCTTTCTGGTCTCAAATTACTCAATGAATGTTTAGCTTTGATTTTATTAATCACTAAACAAAATCTGACAATTTTAAAATGAGTCATGGTTCTTAATTTAACATTAAAATGTATTTGTTTTGAAATTTGTCCTTAGTTAAGGACATATATCCCAAACCCTAATAACTCCCGGAAAGTAATCCATGTCTAAAATAAAAGTCAATATTTTGGCTTAAAGACTATAAAGAGTTTTGGGAGTTATTTAGAATTGGGGATATACGTCTTTAACTAAAGACAAATTTCAATATAAATACATTTTAATGTTAAATTATGGTCCATGACTCATTTTAAAATTGTCAGATTTTGTTTAATGATCGATAAAATTGAAGCCAAACATTTACTGAGTAATTTGAGAGCAGAAATAACTTAGTGACGTATTAACAACCCGAGTTATAAATCTTTTGATAAAAATATATTTATAAAAAGATAAATTTAATATTGTTCTGAGGTTTGTAGCTGGTCTTTAACTCGTCTGATTTTAATGATCAAGAGTTCAAACGAAAGCCCTTATATTACTGAATATTTAAGCCTAGAACGAACTACAACCGTCTATAAGAACTGGAGATATAAGAAAGATAGTTTTAAAAAATTTATCAAACTACGAAACGTCCATAAGAATTGTATGGTGGAGAGTTTTCGTTTGAATATATCTTCTAAATGAATAAAGATATTTAAAAACAGATTTCGGCATTGAAATCAGCGTAAAATTGTAGTTGGTAATGATGTGTCACAACACTATCATTACATTGAATAAAAAATTATCTATGTCCAATATGGCGGATCCAAGATGGCGGGCAAAAACATGTTCCCTATCAAAATGAAGTACTTACCACCCAATAAATACAGGTGGTGGTCCCAAGTCAATATCTTGAAAAATGAGCATAACAAATGCATGTGAAATATGTTTTTTTAGTTTGTCCAATGTTGGAAAAAGCCGCCATTTTAAATTATGATTTTAGTGGTTTTCTCGTGCACCGATTTTTGGCAACTTTTAGTATGTCATTCTGCAAACCCAACTCTACAAAATAAAACCATAAAACGTTTTCTTGCAATTTTTTTAAGGTCATATCCTATATTTCTCCGACTATAAGATTTTAATTAGTTTAATAAAACAAAATATTCATGACCTAACCTAAAACATAGTGCACCCTTAGGTTAGGTTATATAAACCAAAGTACTAAATATAGGTACGGTAGTAACAGTTTTATTTGACAATATTTATTTGATTTGTGATTCAATGGCATCACATCATTTTCAGGAGGTACGTCTTTTACTTCAATGACAGGAAACGTAAAATTTATGTAATCAGAACTAAATATCTCATGCATTCTCCTGTTATAAATACTTTGTTTTGCAAAAGATATCGAAAGTGAAGTAAATTTGTGTAACCAAGCTGGGTAATTACAGAATTTTTCCATATTGATACTCATTTCAATCCTCAATGTTCAAAGAGAGTGATGAATTTACACTGGTTATCTTAGCACACTTTCTATTGAGCTTATTAGATGAGTGATGTAGTGCTGGTAAGCAGAAAATTGTCAATTCGATTTTTTTTTAAGTTTATCCCTTTAAAACTAAACCCAGTTGCCCCTGATAATTGGAATATGAATCAATATTGTCCTAGATCAATAAAAACTGGTCTCAAACAGTTACACAGCTTCCCAAGTTATCCTACTTCATTCTCCACTCATACTTCACTCATATTCAGCTCAATTACACAGCACCAAGTGCATCTCAGTCCCGAAGAAATAATACATGATTTACGCAATCAAACAATTTAACTATAAGGTGTTGTGAATGTGCTACCTTTATCAAGAAAATTTTACGTTGTCATCTTATTAAGGTTTCGAAATATCTTAATTTTCCTTTGTACATTTTGTAACAGCTTATCGTCAGATATCTCTGTGAAACTCTCATAAGCCTCATTCAAAAACATCAACATTAAAACTGAATTAATTAACTATGTTGTTCGGCAGCGGGTGAACTTGAGCGAAGTGTTAGTGCCGCTCGCCATGATGTTTGGCTTGAGTATCATCCACTCGCAGATAGTGTCGCCCCACTCCTGTGTTAGCCAGTGTACTACGGGGCGGAGGGCGAGGCGAGCCAAGCGGAGCAAGCGTCGTCCCCCGCCACTACAGCGGTACCGTTCCAACATAGGTAGGTTCATAAGTAATCAATGTTTCAACATTAATGGATTAGATGGTATAATTAATTCAATGGCCTGAACTGCCACAACAACTATCTTGAGCTTGCGCCCTAGGTCTGCAACTAAGTATTGTCATTCAATTCAATTAAAACATCTGTTAATGTAACATGCCATACATCCTCTAGTGCACTTATGTGTGCAAGGACATTTCACGGTACATTTTGTAAATTTATTACTGGCAAAATCTATTTGCTTTTAGGTTTGATTTCCAAACTAAACTCAATGTTAAAAATATTTAACTTTTAATTTAAATATTTATTTGGTTTTTCCCTCTGATATTTCAAAATGATTTATTGAATATTTTGTAAAGTTACTTTAATTTTTCCAAAACATAAATAAATATTACTTTACCATTATATAATATCATAGGCAAAAAAAATTAAATACAGACCGACAGCAGTACTGCGTTTAGCGCATGTTCTGGCTTCTACCACTAGCAGTGCCGTGTAATTACGACACACACTGCTGCAGCGTTTGCAACAATTTAACTAAACTAATTATAAAACTTGTGCTCTTATTAAAAAAATTAGGGTTAATAATAAGAAAAAAAAATTAAGCAGATGTTAAGATTTCTTTGTAGTGTTCATTGTTATTTATATGTCTGAAGTCTGTTGTGTTCATAGATTGGTTTTGTTAATTTCAAAAATGCATTAGGCAAGTAAAATGCTTCAAGGAAACACAACACGCTCTTACCATTTATCTATTTTTAGGTTCGGATTCAAAATCGTCCCCTGATACGGGCCCTGAACTGACAACAAACCAAAGCAACAAGTACAGAAAGCGTGTCCGTCTACGAAAGTAAGTCTACATTTAATCTGAACATTTTAAAAACCAATACTGAGAATGGTGATAAGAAAACTACTCGTAGCGGTCATGCTGGTGGACTAAACAACTATGTTAACCTTATAATTCGTAATTTTGTTTCAGTTCGTAGAACATTAAAATAATCAAATCAAATATTTTGTTCTGTAAAATACATCAAAACTAAAAATTATTTAAAGTTTAAATATTAATTTTTCAATTTAACAATAAAAAAAAAAAACTTTACCGTACTGGTAAAAGAAATAGAACAATACTCATCAAGGAATGTTGCTTATTTTTACTCCAATAATCACAATGTCTTTCAAGTGTTGCATTACTGGTATATACTAAGGTTTAACCAGTCTTTAACCACCAGGTGCTAAACTAAAATATGATAGCAATTATAACTGCATGGGCTTCATTAATATTTCAAACTATAGTCTACCAAGAAACTAATTACTAAAACACTAGTTGTAGTAAATTTAGGTTTTGTTTTTCAAGATGTTTTTTAATCCTAATTCTTAACTTGAGTTGTCAACTACTTTCACAATATTTACATGTTTTTTTTACAAAAGGAAATCTAACTAGTTTTACTCTCACTAGCTAAATATTAAAGATTTATGTCACATTCAAGGTAGTAACATGCATACACTTTTACTGTACAATATATTAATTATTGCTCACTGCTTGATATTAAGTCCAACAATATAATCCAAGTTTTTAATTTTTCGAATCCAATTTCAAAGTTAGGATTAACCAGTAGTAACGTGTTCACTGTAACTAATAAGTTCAGAATCAACCTTATCATCTTATAACATGGTATCATCCCATCACTGTCACCATTGCATGTTTTAGTGTGTCACCGGAAGATGCGTTTAACCGCAATAAAAAGCCACAACCCCCCTTAGCGGAGGGGAAGGAGCCCCCGCTGTGTGAGGAACTACGGAGCTCCGCCAGGTCAGTGGGGCTGCGTAGTAGTAGTTAATACAAATAACATTCATCATTTAAGGAGCTGAGAAAGTATTAGCTTTTCTTTTGAAAACTTTTAGCTATATTGATTGAATTTAGGATAAACTACTGTGCCTTGATTTGATTGATGAACTGAAGCATCCTATGAATCACTGGCAAAAAGACCATTCATGGTGCAATGACAAGATCTTCCAATGACAAGAGGTTCTGTGGTCAAGACGTCCTGTTGTCAATAGATTCTGTTGTCAAGAGGTCCTGTTGTTAAGAGGTGCTGTTGCCAATAGATTCTGTTGTCAAGAGGTCCTGTCGTCAATAGATTCTGTTGTCAAGAGGTTCTGTTGTCAAGAGGTGCTGTTGCCAATAGATTCTGTTGTCAAGAGGTCCTGTTGTCAAGAGGTGCTGATGCCAATAGATTCTGTTGTCAAGAGGTCCTGTTGTCAATAGATTCTGTTGTCAAGAGAATCCAAAGTTATGATGTCACGGCCAATTACAACAGAAGCTTTTGGCATTGGAAGATCTTGGTGTGTTCCCCTGTAAACTATACATTAAAATACAAATATTCAAGGATTCCTTCTAACTCAAGCCTAATTTTTGTGTTAAGTATAAAGATTGAGCATGACTTAAGCAAGGAAAGACTTTCCCATCTAGGCTTTTCCCTAAACATTTCTATTCAATTTGATTAAGCTAAAAACAGGGCCGGATCTACAAAATATGGGCCCCCCTGCAAAAATCCTCCAAGGGCCCCTATAGAGCTGGCATCAATAGCAGGGAGGCCTTATTTGCGGGAGGGGTGGTGGGGAAATGTTTAAAATATAAGTAGCTGAAACTGAATTTTAACGCTGTTTTAAAGATAAAATATTGATCCTGTTTGTTAAAAAAACATTTTCGTTAAAATGCGTAATTTTTTTATTCTTATGTAATAGGATTTCTTAGCCTTTCAAATAGGTTTACAGATTATAAAATAAAATACATATTGTTCAAAAAAAGTAAAAGGTTTTACATAAAGAATTTCAAGCATAAATAATAATGTAAAATAATAAACAAACGACTCAATTTAAACTTAGTTTCTTTTTATACTATATTTTCAAGATAGATAGGCCTACATACAAATCATGGTTCCAGAGGGTGGGGCAGAGGGGCCAAAGCCCCGGGGCCCTGGGTTCTGAAGGGGGCCTGGCCTGGTCTAATGTGAAATCTTTCTGTACATGCAATCTGCTAAAATCTTTGATTTTTCTTTGATTTTTGATTTTTTTTTTCTTTGATTTTTCAGTTCACATATTAATTTTTGAGTGGAATAAAGTTGCAACTATGAGCAAGAGAATTAATCAAACTATCACACGTTTTAGATATATTGTTAAATGTTTAACGAAACGGCACGGAGGCGGCTAGACACTAAATCCGGAAAATAGGGCGCCGGGGATCGCTCAGCTCAGAGGCACGCGATGGCTCTCACCGGCCCTGAGGTCGTTAGATAACGCTACAGAGGTTATTACAAGTCCCGCCTGTACAACAGACTTATTGCTCAGCTCAACTGATAGTTGATTAAGTTGACACTACGTCCACGTCGATCGGACTGTAGTGGATCTGTGAAGCGTGCACTGCAGCTGACGAGCTGACTGGACTGGGCTGAGCTTACAGACTGGACTGACTGAAAGTGACAGTAAACCACAGTTTAAACTGTCTACGGCGAGGTCCCGAGTTGTTGACGAGTAAAATCAGTAGGTCTAAATTTACTCAATAATTGTAACTTTAGCTTTGATATTGACAATATTTGTCTGTCAAAACTAAACTTACCGTACTATTCAATTATGTTTATATGCATTAAAATAATTTTAAATTATAGAGCTCTTTGGGCCCCTTAAGGGCTTGGGCCCCCCTGCATTGCGGGGTATCGCGGTTCCTAGATCCGGCCCTGGCTAAAAATTCAAATTTGACCCCAAAAAACTTTCTTCCAGTGAGAAAGAGGTGAGGATAATAGAGCCTTTGTGCGGCCGGCCGTCGCAGGAGGATGATGGTTTCGAGAGTCTCAACGGCAACGGGTCAAGTGACAACAATGAGGAGGACAAGTCGGGTGAGGGGGAGACACCCGCACCCGAGACACCCGAGTCACCCGAGGCACCCGTAATGGAAGGGGAAGGTGTGTTGAACAGTAGCCTCTCCCACAATAGCTCATTTACCTGCACCAGTAGTGACCACCCATCAGGTATGATTTGCCCTAACTTTAAAACCTATAGTGTAATAAGTTCATCCTTAGCACTTTGCATAGCAAGAATTTCATTTTAAGTATTGTTTAAATGTTTTTGGTTGGAATGTGTTGTTTAAGACTTTTTGATTCTGGTTTTGATTTCTTGCTTTGAGAGTAATTCTTATTATATTTTAAAAACTTTATTACGATGTCAATTTTGATACACAACCTGTTTCCCCATTGGATATTTGATGATTGATTTGATTTAATGCATTTGGAAACAGTTTGAATCATGATTTGAATCCTCTACTTTATTACTCAACACATCACAAATGTTGGGTAGTTGAAGTTAGCATGATTATTGTTTGTCATTGGTTAAAAATATGTATCCCTTTTTAATTTTGATTATTGCCATACCGGTACTCTCAATTTGTGTAGCCTATGTATTGACTTTTTATTTTTTATGATACTGAAGTAGACATGGCATTATTTGTAGCCAGTCTTTTACTAAAAGAGGGCATGTTGAATAAGTCTTTCTTTTCCTTTTTCATATTCTAAGATTTTACAGGGATATGAAAGGTGCTCTAATTTACCGTAGTCTTACCCTTTTAGTCGCCTCTGATTGAAACTCTATTTTACAGTAGTGTTTTCATAGACAAAGATTTTATTTGTTAAACCTTAAATTTACAACCGGTAGTTATCGTACACTTGCATACTATCATTTTTTATTATAATTTGATTATTTTGCAAAATTATGAAATACACTTTATAGGAACACACTCCAAATTTGGTTGAAAAGTGCACCAACCTCTCATGATGATACAATTGTGTCAGATTAGTGGAAGAGTTTACCATTGTAAGATTATTTTCCAAGCAACTTTTCTAAGACTTTGCAAAATTGATTTTTCTATTACCTACTGTTGTAGATTTTCTATGATGTGTTGAGTTATTTTATGTTCTGTGCAGTGTGATCCGACGACGAAGTGGTTGCGGAGGTCAAAGTTAAGTTTGTCCAGTATCAAACGGGTTTGTTATGTCTTCTGTTACCTACCTGTGTACTTGGAATAGAGGACTGTATTTCTATAAGTATTAACTACACATTTAACAAAGCGAAGTAGAAAGTAAATGATTTTGGGGTGTCTGGTCTAGGCTGCACAGGGGAAGTGGATGAAACCGACCACAAAGACACGGATTCTGAACCTTCCCGGCCTCGTTCTGCGATTTCCTCTCAGGTAATTTAAACTAACGTATCTTTTCCTTTTGTTTGGCATTAAGGTTTTTATAGTTTTTAATTTTAAAATGTTATGCCATTGTGAATTCTTTTCCCTCTAAATAATGTGACACTTAGATCTAACCTTGATAGGTTTAGCATATTTATCCATTTGTTGTACAATTTTTGGTTTATTTGCTGACTGGACGTGCGTCTTATTCTATTGCCCCCTTTTTAAACCAAAAAGATAACTAAAAAACTACATACAGTGATAGTTAAAGATTACATAGAAGTGAGTGACAAAGACACGGATTCTGAACCTTCCCGGCCTCGTTCTGCAATTTCCGCTCAGGTAATCTAAGTAACATATATTTTCCTATCGTTTGGCGTTAAGGTTTTTATAGTTTTAAATTTTAAAATGTTATTCAATTGTGAAATTCTTTTCACTCTAAATAATGTTACATTTCGATCTAACCTTGATAGTTATAGCAAATTTATCCATTTGTTGTACAATTTTTGGTTTATTTGCTAATTGGACCCATTGCCCCCTTTTTAAACCAAAAAGATAACTTTGATGATTGTCAAAAATGATCTAAAAACCCAGTGATTTGAGTGTCTTGAGGATAGATTTTTTGTAACACAATAGGCACATTTTGGGAGCTAGAGCTTCCAGTAAGGATTAGTCATGTTTACATCAAGGACCAAAACTCCTTTCAAAGGATACAGAAGGCAGTTGAAATATTTCAAAACTTATCCACAAGAATCAATCCATTTTTTGAAATTGTAAGTTAATTTTCTATCCTTGATCTGTTGTAACTAAATATTGTTTCTATATTTGTTTGAAGTTAATGTTTCAGTAAAATACTGCTTATGCATTATAAATATTGTATTGCCAACTTTACATTTTAACCGTGGGAAAAAAATAAACATATCTAAACTTTAAAATGTTTCGGTTTTCACAGAAGCTGCTGAGCAGACGACGAGGATCGCTACAGACTCTGAGTGTTAAGCTTGCGGAGAGTTCGTACAACTCAAGCGGCGAGAGTGACGGAGAGACAGTGCCCGATACAGCGACCAGCGCGGCCGAATGGATCGGAGTTACAACTAACAGCGAGGAGTGCAGCTACAGCAGTGAACTGGACGAACGAGAGACAACCTCGCTCCACGACGTCAACGACCACCCCTTCGCATGGGAGTTCCAGATTGTAAGTCCTTGCAACCTGTTTAATCTTAGATTTAACTTAACCATAAATGTTTTAAGCTTTATAGTTAAGTTAAATCATGTAGATAGAGACACAGCCACAATTTTAAATTGATTTATTAATTTTTCCGGCATCAAGAAATAAATAATTATCAGATTTTGAGATAAGATGAAAGACAGAGTTTAAAGTTCATTAGTTTCCAATTTCCATACAGAGCATGACTTGTACACCCATTTTTTTTTTTTTTTTTTTAGAAATACGATTTAATTCTTGAATTGTTGTCAAAATAGGATGAAGGAGTTTTTGTAAATTGTAAAACAATATTAAAACATCAGCTTTTACAGCGATTTGACCCCTTTACAGTTTTAAAGCACCCTCTTACATAATATCCTTTGTTTCAGTCACCAGCTGCAATTCTTAGCCCCAGCTGTGCTTCATCTGATAAAGGTAAATACTGCCTCAGAAAACCTGCAGACTAAGCAATTTTCCATTTGCCTAGATTTTCACTCAAATATTTCCTTAAAATTGTGTGAAAATCAATTTTTACCCCATTAAACCCCGCTCCCATGCTGGCAAATAAACTTAGGATCACACGTTTGTACAAAATTCTATACAAATCTGATTATTTTTACCTGAGTTCAGGCCGTTGGTTTGCATGTGATGCCCCTCTCCACCTACATGATGGGGGAATTTGTCTCTTCCTTGTGCCTTCAACAAACCTTATACACGCCCAGGCCCACCTGGCCCTTTTATAAAAGCGGCCCTGTTTGAGTTATCAAGTCATTGAGTTTTCCTCGACTTACAAACGGACACACTCACACATACAGCGTGTCCATTAAAAAACGTTTAAGGACTTTGGTAAATGATGTCTCAAAGAAAAAAGAAGTTTTTTTCTTTATTTAGATTTCAAAAAAAAGAAAAAGGTTTATATAAAGGTGTCATATTCACTCAGATACCCGCCATTTTGATTTGTATATATAATATTTTCATCTTTAACTGATCCTTATAAAACTTGGTATGTATATTATAATAAAACAGGGGAATGTATATTAATATTATGTTAGGAAAGACAAGTCGAACTAATATAAACATTGCTAAACGGCTACTATTTAAAAAAAGTTTAATTTTGTAAAATCATGTCACGCACACTTTTATTTTGAATTCCTGATTCTCTATCAAACGACACCGAGATCAAAAAGATCGTAACGTATGTTATTAATTTCTAAAATAAAATAAAAGTGATTTTTGATTTAGGCAAAGATAAGTTTCTGTTTTTTTCCTCAGTGAGCTGCACTATGTGGGACAAGAGGGATGTTAAGAAGGCAGAACTGTCTGTGCTGGATATCAGCTCGGCCATCATTGCTCGGGTGGAGAGCATGCCGGAGAACCTCGACTACTTCTACGGAGGTATAAACATTTATTGCCATCGGGATACTCTTTCTATGAACCTGTGGCACCATGCACAGTTGTTTTTGACTAAAGTTTCTACATATAAAAAAAAGTTTTTTTAAGTTTGAACAAGTTTATACAAAGTATGTCTGTGTTTAATTTAGGGATTTGTCGATTCTTGGTACCATCAATACTTGGGACATTGACAGCGGTATCAAGTCATAAATTGATGCTAATAAAAATATTCTACAGTTATTGTAATCACAAACGGTGCCTGCCTATATTGCGTAGTTGAATAATTAACACATTTACTACGAATGCGAATCATGACAATAACACTTCACTGACTGCGGGAGACTATGATGTCCAAAAGACCGAGGGAGATATTTAGGATTCTGCCGCCATCGCGGGAGATGATGTGATGATGGTTCCTGTTGTTATTTAGGGTTTTGCTATGATCGTGTAAAACGATGATAATATTCCCTTGACTGGGGGAGAAGTTCAAGGTTTTGCCGTGATTGTGGATGACGACAATGATGTCCACAAGACCATGGAATTTTGGGATTACAGAAGACGATGGTGATCTTTTTGTGACCGAAGAAAATATTTGTGATTTTGCAGGATTCACAAGAACTTCTGTTTTTAAATTACATGCTTTAAGGCAAGGTAGTATTTACTTGTGGACATTTTTTGTTGGCTTCACTCTCTTTTATTTTTGTCTAGTGACCCCATATCCAGGACTCATCATAAAACACATACCAACACATTATGCTTGTGATACATCTATCACAATCGTCCATACTTATTTAATGTGTTTGGAAGGGTTATATTTGAATTGGTTGGTTAGACTCTGTCATTGCTGATTAAAATCCTTCCTTACTTAAAAAAACTCCCGATTATCCCAAAACTACTTTGTATAAGGACATCAAAGACAGAGTTTTCAAACCACCACCATGGTATCTGTATCAAATCAAGAATAGATTTTGGTGTCTAATTTAATAACGTCACTGAGCAGTGATTAGGGTGATTGCTTGAATATTTTCCTTAGGATTTTTCAAGCAAACACGGTTCATGTAAACTCAATAATGTACAAGTGTGAAAAGACTGATGTTTCTGATGTTTTTCGTCACTTGCAGGACTGATTGCCTCTCTGTTGCTGGCTGCCATCCCCAGTCTGTGGAGACTCAGCGCTGGAGTCAGTGATGGTTCCACAGGAGTTACTCTCAACATGACCTCACTACTGTCCAGCTTCACACTGTCAGACTCCCTGGACCTCGCCATGCATTCTGCATTCGGATCTAGTCACAGGTACAGCAACTTCAGCTTCAAACTTTCAAATTTAGTTTTGACACGGTGTCTAGCTGCAGGAAACTTGGTAATGATACGTGTGTTTTGACGGGGAAAAGTCTGTGAATTTTAGATGAATTTTTTGGCTTGTGAAATTTGAAATGATACTTATCAAAATTTCCCGAGCCCAGAAAAATTAATCTATGGTTCACTAATTTTTTCGATACAATTTATGCACAATTCCCAGTTTTTTCGGTTCCTTTGTTATTATTACCCGATGGTTGAATAACATCATTATTCATTATTGGCTTTTCTTTGGTTATTTTTTTACATTATGATATGTACAGTAGTAAGAAAATTGTGATCGCAAAATAAAACCAAACCGTCATCAGGTATATGAGTTCTAGTTTTATTCATATTTTAATATGAATTTCTTAAGAAATCAAATAAATTATTCTTTTTAGTGTTGAAAATTCATTGGTCGCTTCTTTGCGAATGATGTGAGGACTCATCTTTCACAGTGACTAAATTAGAAATACAGGAAGTAATTTAGTTAGATGTAATTTTTTACAAAAAATAAAAATGTAAAACTTGATAAGCACTTCCAGTTAAAATTATTATTTTTAGTATGTATATACCAGTCTTAATTTTAATTGCAAAACCAAATATGTATAACCTGCAAGCAGCATAATCATAACTCATTACATTAATTTTAATTGTAATACTTACCCCCTATTAATAAGAATTGTGATTTTTCCAGCGAAAGAATCATAACTTCAATAGCCATGATGGAGAAATTTGCACTCGGAGCAATTTTCTTCTTCCTCCTCGCCGTTGCGGAGAGGACGTTCAAACAGAGGTTCCTGTATGCAAAATTCTTTTCACACCTGACATCGTTCCGAAGGGCTCGAAAATCTGAGTTACCTCACTTCAGGCTGAACAAAGTCAGAAACATAAAAACCTGGCTCTCAGTGAGGTCTTACCTTAAGGTGGGTGATGCAAACCATTTTAGATGATTATGTTTTAGGAAAAATTCTTGTCCCTGTTTAAGAAGTTTTTGATCAAGTAGTTTTTAAACACCTTTTACTGCTGAGCACTTAGGTAAAAAGTCTTTTTCCCTAGGGAGTAAAAATCAGTCACTTGTAATTATTTATTATTATTATTATTACCATTTAAGATAGGGACACCACCTATGTGCATTTTTTAACCCTTAATATATGAGTTGAGGATGAGTTTAGAATTAATGGAGTGTGTTGCCTTGTGTTGCATTTTTTAGTGACTAAGACCAGCTGTTTCATTAGTCAGGACCATTTATTGAAGGCTCAAGGATCAAGGACAACTGGGTCCAGTTTCAAACCATTAAAAAGCTATACACTTTTCTCGGGATCAAACCTGCGACCTTTTGATTACTAGGCGAGCACTATAACCACTGATCTACCCAGCTATATTTAGATTGTCGCATGTATCGAAATGATATATCAATTTGTTTAATCTTTGATAGCTTATTTTTGCATTCTTGTCAATAGTTGGACATATTGACATGTACAATAACACAATTACCTAGACCCTTTAGCCTGAAGTAATATGTAAAACAGTTCTGGGTTAGAACCTACCGTTCTAGAATGTGAAGGTTGGGCATAAAGAAAAGATATTTAATATGCTAATCTAGTAGGGCTGGGCATTCAACCCACATTGAAAAATGCTTCCTTCTTTCTACCGCACTTCCTGCATAGTAGTCTATCAACTAAAATCCCCTTCTTATTTTTTTAATTCCTTCATGGTGGCCAAAGATATTTTTTTTAAGAATGCTGCCAGCTTTGGTTAAGTCAAATGAATCATTGCTTTGATTACTGTGATGTATTATCCTTACGAGATTGGTGAGTCAGTGGCTCAGTTGGTAGGAGGCAGCGATGTCGTGGGTTGGGATCCTGGTCACTGCTGCAACTTTTTATAAGTCAGTACCCTTTTAATGTATGAGCTTTACACCTTGCTTTGCTGGATACATTCCAAGCACAGGTCCATAGACTATGTGGATGGGCAAATGCAAGATAGGTAACGAACAATGCTAATGCAAAAACAAACAAACATTATAATGATTTTACAGAAGCGAGGTCCGCAGCGATCAGTGGACGTGGTCGTCTCAGCAGCTTTCATCATCACCCTACTGCTGCTCTCCTTCCTTAGTGTGGAGCTACTCAAGGTATATAACCTATTTGTGTCAAATACTAAGTAACTTTTAGCTTGATTTTCATTGTAAAGGAACTGACGTTTGCTCAAGTAGCCTAAGTTCACACATGATCTAGAATTTGGATCCATATGAACTGAAGGATGAGTATTTTAGCTGATATGCAACTGATTATGACTTAAGTTTTGGTGTAGTAGCGTCTTTGCTTGAGGTGTGTCGCCTGGTGTTCGGTGTGATTTTGTAAAATTTGATGATTTCCCTTTTTAGCGAATTCCCCCTAGAAAGAAAAAAGAGCATTTTACTTTGTGTTGTTGTAGGAGGAAGGGAATAGAAAAATTGTTCTGTTTTTTTTCTAACACAAAGAAAGATTAGAATTTCAAATTTTACAGAAACCGATTTACATGACATGTGAGCAATGGCAAAAATTATTTTAAAGGGCTTTTAATAAAAAAATTTAAGAATTTAACATAGAACCACGAACTCTAGTTTTAGGGATTTTTGTTTGGTCAGGTTTACCTGAATAGGAAAGAGTCCTCCCAGGCACAAGAAACACAAGAACACCCTAAACATTCCTTGGTCGAAAAAGCTATCAGTGTCAGTTAATTATTTTCCCCCGAGTGAAGTAAACGGTTTTTATGTTTCTTGTGAAAATGTGGACTCATTACCCTTTAAGGCAAGCTTGCTGTTCTAACAAAAACCCTTAGGACTTTTAAGTCGTTTGAGTCAACTTAAAATACAGATAATTGTATGCAGTTTTACTGTTTGTTGCTGTGGCAGTCTGTTGTTATGTTTGACAGTTTTAAAACACTTTTCTCTCCATGTTTCTGTGGCAGTCTGTTGTTATGTTTGACAGTTTTAAAACACCTTTCTCACCATGTTTCTGTGGCAGTCTGTTGTTATGTTTGACAGTTTTAAAACACTTTTCTCACCCTGTTGCTGTGGCAGTCTGTTGTTATGTTTGATAGTTTTAAAACACTTTTCTCACCATGTTTCTGTGGCAGTCTGTTATTATGTTTGATAGTTTGAGTGTATGCAGGACTCGGAGCAGCTGAGGTCAGTGTACAACGTGGAGGCGCTTGGCTGGTGTCTGGTGATGGGCGTGTTCCTACTCAGGTTCATGACCCTGGGGACCAAGATCAACCGGAAGTATCGCAACCTGTCTGTCCTCATCACGGAACAGGTGGGGTCAAGTGGTTACAAAATCTTTGATTTACAAAACCCATTTCAGTTTCTCAATAGTACCTTAGAATAAGGAAATGTATATTGCATTTCCATGTTAAAGTAGTATTGACTTTTGAATACTGAAGTAGAGATACTTTATATAAAACCGTTATTTAGTAGGTAACCTATTGTTTATCAGAATATGGATTTATATTATGTGTACATTGTTAAAATTGAGACTGAGTTCTTAGCCTTAAATATCAAATTATGGAAGTACTACAGATTCTTAAAGCACCTAGCCTATAATAATAATGTTCAATTGTTTTCTGTTCCAGATAAATTTGTATCTGCAGATTGAACAAAAACCAAACAAGAAGGAGGAACTGATGGTGGCCAACAGTGTTTTAAAGCTGGCTGCTGATTTGTTGAAGGTAAGTCAGTTAATTTGTAAACCCACAGTGTCATTAACCCTTCAAGGCAGTTTGACAAGCCTTCCTTGTCAAACTGGAAAAAGACACTTCTTCAGTTTGTTTTAACATACCTACTTTACTCTTATTTCTTACTAAATGTTGTTGAATTCGAAACAAAAATGAATAGTCCTTGCTGCCTTGTGACTTACTTGACATACAAAATTAATTGTCGGATAGTAAAGATAATTGGAGTAAGAAAGACTATTGGACTATTGGATAGGAAGACTTACTAAACGATGAAAGCAAGACGTAGAGGAAAGAAAAGACGAGGCAAGACGTACGGGTTTAAGAAAATTTAATTTTAGGCCATTAATGTACGGACGCTAAATACGTTGCGTTAATGCGTCGTGTTAATGCTAAGGTGCGCATTATTAATTCAGACTATACGAACGCAAAAAACGTGCTGTTTTTAAGTCAACCCGCATGGCCAGACTATACAAGCGCAAAAACCACCACAGTGCTTCCCAGATTACTCACTCACGGCTCAAGCCAGCGCGCAACGCATCTATCGTCCGTATAGTCTAGCCTCTAGCGTTGCGCAGCGGTATCTACGTTGCGATGCTAGCGGTTATTTTTCCAGGGCTGGTCGTGTAAAATGTGTCAACGGCAATTTTGGAGGGCGTCGCGTAGACTGCACTCGTATAGTCGTTCCAATTGACTTGCATTGCCATCCAAAATGAAAAATAGCGCAGCATATTTAACGTGCATTTAGCGTCCGTATAGTATGGGCCTAAGGGGATGTAAAGGGAAGGCAAAAGAAATAAATAATAAGAGTAAGAGATGTAACTGTAGCGCCAAGGGGTAAGGAAATAAAATTGTCTAAAGGAAATGAAAGAAATGTTAAATATGCCTACATGATTGTTTTACGTTTGAATGTCCCACTAAGATTTAAGCCCACCAGTCACTGTATGCACTATAAATTAATGTTAGTTTTAACATTTCTGTCCTATTACGTACAATCAGTAAAAAAAAAATGTTTTGTATGGTAAGTTATACTAGTCTTCAAACACAAAATTGATTTTTTGTTGTTTATTAGGAACTGGAAAGTCCTTTTAAAATATCTGGTTTGTCGGCCAACCCGTACCTCTACACCATCACCAAAGTAGTCATTCTCTCCGCTCTATCAGGAGTGCTCTCAGAAATGCTCGGCTTCAAACTGAAACTACACAAAATCAAAATAAAGTAAATCACCATATGTTTGCAGTCATTATAGCTGTTAGCTCGGTCTTTCTTAGTTGTAGTTGAATCATTGTGATCAATGCTGACTATGTATAATTTAAGTAATTAATTATTTTGTGGTATCTCCTTTGACTAAGGATAGAACTGGACATACCGTTCCCATCTGAAGTTGTAGCCAGTTTTATAATTAATATGAACAAAGTTGAAAGAAGCCATTAGAAGTGTGAGCTGATGGAACAAACACTTTTGGAGGGAAAATAATTATAGACTCTACACTCTGCGAGTGGTTTATTCAACTATGTTCCTTTTAAATAAAAATAGCTACAGTTGGTCCAAATAGATGGGATGTCCACTTCAGAATCCAAAGTCAATAGTAACACAATATATGGATTCTACAAATATCTGTAGGTTATGAGCGTTGATTACATGATATTTTATACAATATGTTGATGTTTTATTTTGTGATCTTTTTATTATAGATACTTAATTTTAATTTATTTCTGTAGTTTTAAGAGAGGTAATTATAGAAGGTTTAGAAAGAGTTACTGGTGCTCATGAGTTGGTTTCATCATGTTTCTTTATTTTAAGTTATATTTTTACCACACACAAGACTAAAACTTTTTTATAATTTTGAAAACTTATTTACTATTTATAAGCCTCTATCCTCTTTAAGGGTGTTTTATTATTTAACCAAACATATTTTTTAATGTTTAAACTTTCAATTTGAGCATTAATATTTTTATTTCCCAATAATAAACAATATTTAAATTACTGGTATGATGTTGAAGATTAAATCATTTTAGCAACATTAAAAAAAATATTTTACATTAATAGTCTGGGTATAGAGACTGATAGATGGGTGCTGGACGAGTATTCGAATAAAAAAATGTATTTTTTACATGATTAATCTCATAAAACTATGCCTTGTAATAAATCTTTCTAATTTATGTGTAAATAATTTTTAAATAATAAATGTTTTAGTTAAAAAGATGTTTATTAATTCAGTACTGTTTTTTGACATTTAGTAAGCATGCGTTTAAACTGTTTAAAGTTGATTGATTTAAGGTTATATAAGAATACTGCCTTTATGATAAACTTGTTGGTTGCTAGGCATTATGTTTTCTGTATGTGTGCTTTATACAAACTAATGAGACAGTAATTAAGTGGTGCAATCTTCATAGTTCACTCATTCAAGTCAAGCTAAGTTAGTAAACAACGTAAAGTTAATGTACGTAATAATGTTTAGTTTTAGGTAGGTTTAATTGATATTGAAAGCTTTTACCTGTCAGTTAACACTAAGTTTTTTATACAGGGTTTCTTTCCACATTTTGTTTGTCATAACTTGTGCCATTGATTCAGGAACATTTTTGAATTAAGATGTGAAATTATTTAATCGTCTCAGATGAGTTAAGAATACTAAAGGCTAATGAAGTTTAGGCTTTAAAGCTACACTACATTGGATTGGAAGCATTGGATTGTGTATACAGGGTGTCCCGTAAGTAAACAGCCAAACTCCGGGAAATGGTTCTATGGGTCAAAATAAAAAGGAAATCAAGAAACACATTTTTTCCAAAATCGCTTTATTAACCAGATATCCGCCATTTTGTATTTTTTGCATAAACATATTTATTTTTGAGTTTTTTTCAACCAATCTTTATAAAACTTGGTATGTAGGTTAAGGTATAAAAGACCAATTTTAGAAAAGAAAATTCATCTTAATTCAACTTAAAATTTCAAAATGGCGACCATTTTAATTTTTTAAACTAAAATTACTCAAAACGGCTAATTTTATGAAAAAATGTGAAGTACATTTTTATTTAGCATTTTTAATTCCCTATCAAACGATACCAAGTCCAAAAAGATTGAATGAGAAATACCTGAAATATTACCATTTTTAGTTGTAAAATGGGGTAGAAAGACAGAAGCTAGTCAGGTTGCCCCTTTTTACAACTAAAAATCGTAATATTTCAGCTAATTCTTATTCAATCTTGGTATCGTTTGATTAATTAAATTAGCTAAATATAAGTGCTCTTGGCACTTTTTCATAAAATTAGCCGTTTTTGAGTAATTTAAATTTAAAAAATTAAAGTGGCCGCCATTTTGAAATTTTAAGTTGAATCAAGATGAATTTTTTTACATTGATCTTTTCTACTTTAACCTACATACAAAGTTTTATAAAGATTGGTTGAAAAAAACTCAAAAATAAAAATGTTTATGTAAAAAATACAAAATGGCGGATATCTGGTTAACAACGCGATTTTGTAAAAAATGTTATGCTTGATTTTCTCTTTATTTTGACCCATAGAACCATTTCCCGGAGTTTGGCTGTTTACTTACGGGACACCCTCTATATTAATATTACTACAGCCTGCTGAGCATTAATGGAACTAGCTGAACAAAAATATTATCACCACACTGTCCACACTACCCAGTAAGCAGCTAGATTCTGGTTTCATTGTAGACCAAAAAGTGGTTGTTTACTGAAAGGGATCAGTAAAAATAGCTGAAGTAGGTAAATCGACTGGAGATTGGTAAATTTACCTAGCACTCTTGTGGGGAAAATAATGGGAGTTTCTTCAGCAGGCTTCCAATGAAGCTACCCTATATTAGATAGGTTTGGACAGGCACACTGCAATTCCACAACAATCACAAAACTAAAACACTTTGTTTCATTATATAACAATTTTAAAATTATGTTAAAATGTTTTAAATTAGTGCTACATTGTTGGGATTGTTTGTATACAATGAGTTTTACTTATACATTTTTTGCTAGTAGTGTGGTGGAAAGTATCATGCACGATTCACTCCGGAAGGTATTTTACGATACTTGCATGAAATCCCACGTTCCGCAAGCCTTGTACAGAAACTATTATGCTTTCGTGTAACATACTTACTTATTTAGCTTGTAGCATGATAATTTATTCAAAATACATCATCCAAAGTCACCCTGTATAATAAAAGCACATTCACATATTCTATAGTAAAAATCAAAATAAGAAAAGACAGTACATTTTAAATTTATAAGTTGTGTACCTCTACATTAGATATAGGAGGTAGTTTGATTAATTTATTGTGTTCTATGCTAGAAACAATAATTGCATGCAAGAAGTACAATAAAATGGAATAGTTTTTACCTTGCTATTTTAAATGTAAAAATTTAGATCTGAAAAAGAAGTTCGGATCACCTTAAGGTTGGATAATATATGTTAATATGTTGCAAATTTGAAAATTCCTTAAAATATATTCAAGGAACTTTTTATAGTTTTTAGCATTTAAGACAACTTATTTGGTTTTTGATTAGACCTTAAACGTTTTCAATCTATTTTATTCACAACACAATAAAGGTTTTAATATTACTGAAATAAAAATTGATTTAAGTCAACAAGTTATTATGAGGGAGATTGGGATTTGTATGTATTTTATTGATCAGTACAAATAAAGAATTTACATTGTTTTTTGCTTGGAAATAGTTTTAGAACAATAATACTCTATTACAATTCCCATTATTGACTTAACTAGAACCCAACAACAAAATATAGAATTTGTAGTTACAAGTTTGTTGTAAACTGTGGATTAACTTAATCCAGATTTTATGTTGATAAATATAAATTACACTCCTTAATCATTTTTTGAGCTATTAAAAATTACATCCATTCAAACTCTAAATTTGTATATTATTAATATTATTAATCAGTGGAAACTAGCTCCTTAGCTATCGTTTTGTGGATACTAGATACTTCTACAGTGAGTTATAGCTATATTGAAATATTAGTTGACTGTTAGTTAATATAATGGATTTAAAATAATAATCATAAATCTTAGAGGTTTACATTAAAATCACAAGGAGTATTTATAAACTCAAACTCATGTTTGTTATCAGTTGTAAAAGTTATAGCTCTCCAATTTTGTTAATACATCAAAGATCATCTGAATTTTTGTCATGTGCAAAAATATGTTTAATATCTTTCAAATGAACTCTCTCCAAATTAATTGATTAATTTATGTTCAAATCATGTCAAATAGTCTGTACTATCTATTTTTTTAATAGTTAAATTACTGTTACAAGAAGTAACTAAAATTTAACAGTTTACACAAGTTTTTTGTTGTTGCTTTGTATAGATTAAGTCGTGTGTACCTTTAGAAAGAACGCAGACTGTTCAATAATTCTACCTAGAAAATTATAGATGTCTTATGCTTGGGTAAAAGTCAAATTATTTTTTGTATTTGCTTTTTTATCCAAAACAACTTTATTTAGATTTCATGTTCATGGCTTGTTTATTTTTACAAACTTAACATGTTTAGAGAAACGGAATGTTAAATCTGCTTACAGTTTTTAATTTTTATCAGTCTTATTGTTGTAATGTCACATTTTTTCAACCTTAAAATTAATATTTATTATCATTCTGCAACTATAATACAGCAAACAATACAATGTTTGTGTCACTAGCTGTTGTTCTGTTTGCCATATAGAATTTCTATTAGTTAATCATTTGAAACAGCCATGTTAAGAAAGTTTGAGATTTTATTGCTGTTTGTTTAAGTAGTAGGAAATGTTTTCTCAGACAATATAGTTATATACCATACTATTTTGTAATTTTATGAGTTGTTATGCATAATTACGTTTTTAAGTTTAGTCCTATTTTATTACCTTAGTACACGGTTTCCCCGTTTTCGTGTTAGTAAATAATTTGTTAGTTAGGTAATTAATTTCGTTTATTTATTTAGTACTTTTGTTGATTCCGGAATTAAATATTTTTATAAATGACATTAAACATTGAGATCTACCTTTTTATTCAAACCCTTATTTCTTTTGGCCTGAAGTATTTTGTAGAGGATAAGTTGAATATCATATTTATTCAACAAGATTTGCACGATAAAGTACAAAAGCAAAATATTTGTTGTAATTTGAACTATGATTCAGCCAACGGTCATGGATGATGATGAAGAATTTGAGCCTCTGATTAAACCATCAAATAAGTAACTAATTTAGAACACAAAAATAATATCATACATGCAGAAGTACCCATCTTGAAGAATCTTCGTCCTACAGAAATCGTAAAGTCCTGGCATTCCCCTTCACAAGTCTCCCCACTCGAAAAACAGTTGATAAACTAGCGTCTTAATTATAGTTACTTTGTGATATGGTTTCAAGAATAATTGTTTTGAGTTGTAATACCACTGTAAATATTAATTTAGAAAATATTAAAGACTGTCTTGACCGACAACCCACCTTCAATTCAGCTAGTTGATTTCATGAAATTTGAAATTTATTAGTGACATTTTGTAGCAGGAAGGCTGGGCTAAAGAGTGTTTGAAAGGCTCACCTAGCACCTTGCATTCTCACACTGAAAGGTCTATAGTGTTTCTCAATCAAGAGGAAGAAGTTTTCTTCTTAGTTTTGTTTGCTCACTCGTATAGGCCTCAGGGTCAATGTATGGATTGTACAAAAGAGGCCAGTATGAACAGATCTAAACAAATTTTATAGGTACTACTGAGAAGTGAACTCAAAACATAGCTCCATGGTTATGCAGTGTATTCCAATATCAACTAAGTGATTAACCAAAGTTTTTAAATAATTTACCCTATAACATCCTAAAAGCAAGATAGGGCTTAATCGCCTTTCAACCAGCTTGAATTAAATCCAGAATGACTTTAATTTAAGAAAGTCAATGCTTAATTTCACTGAACCTGCCACCAAGTGTTCAAGTTCAAATTTCCATTCAAGCTACAAACAGTAAAACATAAACAAATTATGTCACTGACCCGGAAGTGAACATGTTTGTATTTATAATTAAAATGAAAAAACCTCCAAACCATGTTAACGTACAAGACTACAAGATCGCGCCACTCATCCTAAACTCATCTCCATTCATACTTTGCTTAAAATACCTACTATGTATTGTCGCCATTTCGTTGAACAGTATTAACAGTATTAGAATTTGTTCACAAAATCTAGGCGGTTTAAAGGGAAGGTTTTCTGGGTCACCCACCAATCTTTTTAGCTTATTGTATATATCAGTTGATCAGTTGGCGGCTGTTTCATCGTTAGGGATGGAATCACTTCCCATCAAACCGCCTAAATTTTATGAACAAAGTAGGCCTACAGTACAAATTCCAGCCAGTAACGTAATTTTTCATGTTTATGATCCATGCCGTTTCTGTTGCAATATCTGTGCTCCATGCCAAATAAAAATTGCTTTTATAATGCTAATTCTCATTCTCGATTAAATTATTTTATAATCTTGATACAGTATACTTTGGAATATGACAACGACAACCACCATAAATTCTATGATAGAGGTGTGTAAGGAGCAACTTAAAAACACTCATACTTTCAAGTCAATACATACATTTTATTGCATCGACACCAACGTGTTACGAGCAGTAACACTCACACGCATTTACAGGAAATATTTATAAGGCGTAAAGCCTATTACCTGCAGACATGTTATGTGTAACAAATCCAACAGGGAGCCGACTAAAACATTATGCTCCATGTATTTTATCAATGTAATAACAGCAACACTTCAAAATAAATTAAACCACACAAAAACTCACCAGTGATTTTTTATTTAACAAAAATACTGAACATAATGTAAATGTTGTGCGTTTGTGTGGGATTTATAGGTTATAGAACATTTAAAGATCGTTAATTGGTGTAGGATATTCTTAGGTTCTAGAATCCATACGTAAAAGACAATACAGAATTGTAATTGATAGATTTACTTCATAATATTGAATGTACTGTTTCAAAAGACATTCGACAATATGAATCCTAAATTTTTATACCCTGTGTTTCCAAAATGTTACACTAAAAGTCAATCTGTTAGAGGTGTGATTGTTGAATATTTTAAATTACCAACATAAGAATTTATGTCTCACAAAAACACTTTCCATGCTTAAATTAGTCTATATGTTTATTGTTTACCTATTATAATTTCTACCAACTTAAGAGTGTTTATTATATAGAAATTCACAAATTTTCATTAAACAAGACTGATCACTTGCCTACATGTGAGGTCCAAAATGA